CTCGGTTCTGAATAAGCCCACTTGTTAGCGCCTCCAGCCTTCCTCAGGTGAACTTGCATCCCTTTGCGGAAGCGTCCAGGCAGATGCTGCCTCCTGGTTTGGGCTGGTCCCCGATCTTCCGGCCTCACTCCAATTGGCCTGGCCTGAGCACTAGTCCCTTTGGGTTCTGCATTGAATTTCTGTGTTCGTTCATTAAAGAAACCCAAAAATCCTTCATTAAAAAGCCCCAAATGGTTGGAGGTCGGGCCAGATGTGGAAGGACTGCTAAAGGGTGTGAGGTTTCTTTTTGGGGGTGATGAAAGCGTTCTGGAGTTAAATCATGGTGATGGTTGCACAGCCCTGTGAATATACTAAAACCCAGTGAACTGTGCACTTTCAAACGGTGAACTGCATGGTTTGTGGGTTATGCCACAAAACCAAACCAAACCAGGCCCCCAGCAACGAATCATTCAGTGAAGCAGGAAGGATTCTGGGAGGTAAACTAAGGCTAGTTCTTAGCAGGAATTTCGCTCTGAACTTCCTGGCCATGGAGGGAGCAGAGGAAACCCAAAGGCTCTCAAAGGTTCTAAGGAGAGCTCACCACTTTGCAGGAGGGGTGGACTTTTTCTGTCCTCGAGTTAGCGAATAGCAGCTTTGCAAAAGATGAGGAGACATTCTTCGTGTCTCGGTGCTGGTACCGGCGGATGACACCACGGGAGCTGTTTTTCTAGGGCTCTTTCCCTCTGTGCCTGTGCTGATCGGCGCCTTCAGGTCTCCTCAGGAGGCTCCCTGTGTCGGTGGCGCGTGGCTGTGAGTGGAGCTCCCATGTTGGCTTTGCACGTGCTCCTGGGCAGAGACGCTTTCCTGGTGTTTCTGTTTTCTCCACTTAACTGACTTATCACCCTAATTGAACACGTCCTGGCCACGTGCAGGGCTTTCCAGCTGCTTTGCCCTATTCTTCTCCAGACACAGCCCGAGGCTTTCTGTAGAAAGTCTTTCACGTCAGTCAGGGACCCAGGCCATCCGGGTTAGACAGCAGGCCACAGGCTGCCTAGATTTCATCAGGAGGTCCTCTTGTGGGGCTTATCACCCCGGCCAGATGTTCCCCTGACCCTGTACCTTTCCACCAGTGAGATGGCTCCTTCCTCATCTCAGAGCTAGACTTGGGTTTCCTCAAGAGAATCAGATTTCTGTTCCCGTTTGCAGTGTCATCTCCAGTGAGGGGAAGCTCTCCTCTTAGGTGGGCCTTGCCACCTCGCGGCCCCCTCTCCTGAGCGCCTCAGGCCCCTCCGAGCCTGGGTGAGAAGGCCCCTGGGTGGGCCTGTCCCCGAGGCGAGGACCCAGCTCTAGGAGGTGGCACAGGACTTCCCCGGAGGCCCGGGCAGCTCAGCCCCTCCCTGTGTGAGCTCTCTCCAGCCCAGTGTGGAAACGGAAGCCGTTCTACCTTTTGCTTCTCTGATTGTTTCTGGAGAAAGACTGTAAGATTTGAAGTAAAGCAAGACAGTCTTATGAGCTGCGTAGGGGACACATGATTGTTCTTGTTGAACGCGGTGTTTTGGGCCATCATTTTGGGGGAGGTAAAGACGCAGCCATCCCTCCTCCAGAGGGCTCCCTTGCAAGCCCATCCCTCAAACTCCTTGTGCTGCCACTTGGGCGTGGCCCTGGGTTTGGGTTGGTGGAGAGAGAATCATCATGGCATCTCTTTACCTCAAGTCCTGGGTCAGATGACCTCTCCCTGACACCCTGAGGCTTAGGGAATCAAAAAGTTAATGTTCATGGTGAGGGCTGTGACCCCAAAAGGGAAGCATAGGCTCTGAGGGGCAGGCCCCAGACAAGGGTGGAAACAGACTTTTTCTTCTGGTTCTTTAACGAGGTGTGGTGGTGCAGTGTGGGATGGAGGGAAGGACACTGGCCTGCTGGTAGGGGACCACACTGCTCCCAGCCAGCTGTGACCCCAGGCATGTCCCGTGCCAGCCTAGCTGGGTGGCAAAGACAAGATGATGGCCAACCTCCTGTGGTTCTGGGATGTGATGACTTCAACCTCCCGAGCCTCCCTCTGGAGAGTCCAGATGGGACCGCTGCCCCATTCTGGTTCCTAGCTGAGTCCTTGGGGACGACAGGGATGGGTCACCCGGAGCTCGGAAGAAGCCCAAGGCCTCATTCTCACGGTCACTTTGGGGCTGCGTGTCCAGGATCAGCTCTCTGTGGACTTTGTGATGGTCCAGGCCTCTCCCTTGTGTGCAGGTCAAGCCTGTGGTCAAAGCCAGACTTTCCATAAAAGCACCAGGGGCAGGTGGGTGGTCGCTCTTGGTTAAACGTTCTTGTATGAGCAGAGGCGAGTGAGCAGGCACCGGCACCCCAGGGGAAGAGAAGGGGTCGCGCGTGGCCCAGCCCCAGTCAACACTTCTCATGCGGCTGGGGAAAGGCCTAGAGAGAAGTCTTGTTGTGTTTGCCGGTGATACAAATTTGGGAAGGATAAAGATGTCCAATTAGTCGCAGATTCAAAAAAATCTCCACAGGCACAAATGAAGGCCTGAAAGGAACCTGGGGGGATCCTCTGGTGAGAGTGTGAAGCCCTGCCGAAGGCTGGAAAGCACCCCAGGAAGGCGAGGTCGGCGCCCTGGAGGAAGCGCAGGTCTCTGTGCGGCAAGCCCGGTGAGCGCATGCGCCGCTGGGGCTCCACAGACTCTCGCTGTGCGGCTGCGCCAGAGGGGCGCGGCCGAGGGGCCAGACCTCAGAAGAGGCTTGTAGGATTCCTTCAGCCCTTCTTTTTTTCCTCAGATGCTAGTGGTCCTGTGCTGTGTGCCCATCGTGGGCTGGGGCAGTTCTGGGAACCAGGTTTCAAGGTAGAGAATAACGTGAACTTGCGCAGAGGGGGCCGCAGTAGGCGCCCTGCTGCTGGGGAACAACCCAGGGGCTGAGGCCGTGTTTCCTCGAGAAAGCTGAGTGGCGAGAGGGATGCCTCTCACTCTTCCCACGCGCCGGCGGGGGCTAGGGGAGGGGTGGAGCCAGCTTCTGGCTCTGGGATGTGAACCAGGGCCGGCAGGTGGAGGCTGGGGGGCTTCGGGCTTGGTGTTAGGATGCTGTCCTGGGGTAGGAGGCACCCCTGAAGCGCCGTCTGGAAGAGTAGTGGGCTCCCGGCCCCAGGTTTCCCGGCAGAGCTAGATGGCCCCCTCCTGGGACCCCGTTCCTCCCCGAGGCACACTGAGGTTTCTTTGAGTTCCGAGAGGCAGGTTCTGTGGATTGTGTGAGGTGGTGGAGGTCCTGGCGAGGCAGACGATGCTGAGGCTGTGTCAGGACAGGAAAAGGGAACTCGGAACCTGAGGCCCAAAGCGTGCCTGGCCCCGTCCGCAGCTTGAAAGTCAAGAAAGGAGGACTCTGGGCCCCCGACCACACCCTGCCTGTTGCCCCATGGAGTAAGCCCATGCTGGACCAACGGGGGTGCCTTCAAGGGACGGCCTTGAATACTTCCAGCTCTGTGAAGCGAACGTCCTCACGCAGGGTCTTTCCTCTAAATGGTCAGCGTGTTCTGGGCGCCTCCTGTGTGCCACCGTGGAGTTGGGCTGCCGTGAGACAGATGAAGTGGTCCCTGCCCGTGGGAGCTTACCGCAGTTTGGGGAAGGTCCGCAGGCTGGGGTGAATGGTGAGTGGGGGCTGTGTGGAGTGACAGGGCACAGGGTCAGGCTGGGAGGGCTGGTGCCACAGCCCTTCTTGCGCACGTTGCCACGTGACCTTCAAAGCCTGCCCGTGAGGTGTGTGTAGTAGGAGCTGTCACCGTCTCTTGGGCTCTGAGGGGTTCAAGTGACCCACTTAATTAAGCCTTGGGTGGTAAGTTTACAGCTGAAATGAACACCTTGTTTCATGCCTCCTAACCCCATGCTTTGGGCTTGAGAATCGGGAAGTGGGTGTTTGCTGTCTGAGAGTACAGCTGACCCTTGAACAACTCGGGGGTTAGAGGCGCAGACCCTCTGCGCGGATGAAAATCCGCTGTAATTTATAGTCGGCCCTCCGTGTCTGTGTTTCCTCTGTAGCTGCTGTTCCACATCTGTGGATTCAACCAACCATGGAGCGTGTAATACTGTAGTATTTACTATTGAAAAAAAATCTGCGTACAAATGAACCTGTGCAGTTCAAACTCATGTTGTTCAAGGGTCAACTGTATCTGCTGTCCGTGGAAAATAACATACGCTGGCTTCCGAGTCACATGTGTGAGCTCAGCACCCCACTCGCTTCAGAAAGATGTAGCTTGTCTGGGGCTTCCCCTGAGCCGGTCTGCATCCCTGCTTTGAAGTTTTGGCTTCAGAGATGGTTTTCATGCTTCACTCTGGGAGTCAGGAGTCACCAGCAAGCCATTCTGGCCACAAAAGATGACCACGTAGACATTTACTTATTTATTTTTCTGGCATGGAAAGATGTTCATGAAGGTTATTGAGAAAAGCAGGATGTAGGACCACAGGTATAATCCCAGATTTTTTTGAAAAACAAAAAACCTAAATCCTGTGTACACACATTTATTTATGTATGTAAAACTTACAAGGGAAAACTGTGGTGATTATATGAGTGTGAAGGGGTGTGGGACAATTTTAATGTTTTTTTGCCCTCATCTTAATGTTCCTCGATTCTGTCAACGCCCATGTCTTTCTCCTGTCGTACAAATCATGAAGGGGGTGTGGGGAACAGAAGCGGATGCCACCACTGCTCACTGCCCATGCCGGGAGCTGTCGGCGTCACCCCCGGGTAGAGTGCGCCAGCAGGCAGAGGTGGAGGCAAGATGAAGCTGATGATAGAGGGAGGAATCTCATTTCTGGAGCGTCTCGGCAGCTTTGGGCGGCCGGATAAGCCGCGTGGGGCCCAGACGGGTTCTGGCAGCCGCCGGATATTAGCTGCTTGGGTGCAGGCCCCAGGGTTTCATTTCATCAGCTCTAATCTCTAATCACCAGCATGGTGTCTCACAATGATTAGTTTTTCTCACATGTGACTGATATCAGTACCGATAAGGTGTCCTTTTCATACATTTGCAGGCGTTGCTTTCTTACCAGCTAGTATTTCTTATCTCATTGGAACCAATATTTTCGGGATCCTTGCGCACAAGATGGGGAGGTAAGATGAAATGAGACAACACTCTGTTATAATAAAGTAGTTCTTTAAAAAAAATTCCAAGTGTTTCTGCCTTCACGATTACAACTTATTGTTTTGATTTCCATTGAAAACTTGGATGGGGGCGGAAATCATGTATTGATGGTGCTTTTTTGTTTTTTGACAGGTGGCTTTGTGCTCTTCTAGGAATGATAATTGTTGGATTCAGCATTTTATGTGTGAGTGAAAGATGACATTTGGCAAATGGAAATAATCTGTGAATGAAACTTTTGCTTTGGGCAAGAATCACCAAGAAATATTTTATAGCAGTTTGAAGTTTGTTGACTGAGTTTTATTACATCTTCCATTTTCTTCTCATCATTTGTTGTTGTTGTTGTTTGTGGTACGCGGGCCTCTCACTGTTGTGGCCTCTCCCGTTGCGGAGCACAGGCTCCGGACGCGCAGGCTCAGCGGCCATGGCTCACGGGCCTAGCCGCTCCGTGGCATGTGGGATCTTCCCGGACTGGGGCACGAACCCGTGTCCCCTGCATTGGCAGGCGGACTCTCAACCACTGCGCCACCAGGGAAGCCCTCTCATCATTTTTTATCATCTTAAAAATTTTGGACAAGACTCTCCAAAGGGTTTATTTTTACTTCATGTTGGTTGGAAATTATTTAGAATGTTTTATTACATAGTTTTTATTTCACTTTGTAGCCCGCTCCCCAACATCTTAAACATCGCTGTGTCTTAAACACTTTAGGGCAGCTAGCCAGAAACAATAGCAAGATGTTTTTCTAGAATAAAACATCTTCTACTAAAGGCCAGTATCTATCCCAAATGAGACCTTATGGTTCTTTTCAAAAATGGTGTATGGACGAGGCTGAACTTTCACACATGGCAGTGAACTAGCTTTTCGTGGTGGTCACAAAACCCATTTCAACTCCAACTGTTAAAGATTTGGAGGGTCTACTTCTGCCCAAACCTCATCCTGCTTCTCCTCCTACTTGCTCCAGGAGGGAACACGCATAACAGGCCAAAGAAATCATATCTTTAAGACTTTCCAAGATGATTTAGAGTTGGATAGCATGTTATTTTATTTATTTATTTTTTAATAAATTTATTTAATTTTATTTATTTTTGGCTGTGTTTGATCTTCGTTGCTGCGTGTGGGCTTTCTCTAGTTGTGGAGAGTGGGGGCTACTCTTTGTTGCAGTGCTCAGGCATCTCATTGCAGTGGCTTCTCTTGTGATGGAGCACGGACTCTAGGCGCGTGGGCTTCAGTAGTTGTGGCATGCGGGCTCAGTAGTTGTGGCTTGCGGGCTCTAGAGCGCAGGCTCAGTACTTGTGGTGCAGGGGCTTAGTTGTTCCGCAGCATGTGGGATGTTCCCGGAGTAGGACTCGAACCCCTGTCTCCTGCATTGGCAGGCGGATTCTTAACCACTGTGCCACCAGGGAAGCCCCAGCATGTTATTTTAGCGTAACATTTATTTTCTCTTACAGATTCCTCTTGCAAAAAACATTTATGGACTCATAGCTCCCAACTTTGGAGTTGGTTTTGCAATTGGTAAGTCACACGAGTATTTTACCTAAATTTAAAACTTTGTTTTCCCATTACTAAGACAGAGTTCCTCTTACTTGGGCAGACTATAGCTACTCAATCTAAAATATCTAGAAGTTTGACAGGAGGCTGTGGGCAGCTTATCTCATGTACGGCTTGTAGATCGTCCATAGAAAGGTACTGGCTTCCATGTACTAGTCATTTATTTCCTGAAAACCGGTCATATAAAAGCCTGCTATTTACAGAAGCAAAGCGACACTCCACTGCTGAGCTTGGGCAAACAGGAGAGCTGCTTCCTCAGAATCCATTTGTTTGGGCTCATATCTTTGCACAGACCTTCTCATATGAGGCTGGGGGACAAAGAGACTTCACGTGTATTTTTTGTATAAGGTTTGGTACAGAAAAGGTAGACTGATGTATTGAGGACCAGCTGTACTGCAGGAATTTTCACAGGCAAAGGGGTTGAGTCTTTGCAGTAATGTGAGGAACAGTAAGTAATACATTAGGGAAAAACCTTGTTAATATTTTAGATAAATAGCATATGCTTTTTGTTTCTCATTTATAATATACACATTGATCATGATAAAAGTAAAGGTAAATCTGTCACAGGGTAAAGGCAGGAGTTGACTCTTTGGTACAGTAGAAAGGGTGGAGCCTTTGTGGACCCCTTAGACCAGGTTAGGTTCTCCTAGCTTGTATGTATGCGTATACATAACCTCTCCCAGTGCCTTTATAGCCTCAATCACAGTCGTAATTTATTTTCCAACTCTTTGTTCCTTTTGTTCTCCCCTGTGTCCCAGCAACTTGCACATGTTAGGTGATCAGCAAATACTAGCTGAATGAAAGAAATGTCCCTTACCCTCCTGCCCCTGGTGGGTGTTCGGGTAAGGGGTCTGTCATTTGAACGCCCTGCTGGGCATGTTCACAGCCCTCACCTCATTCAGCCAGTCATTATCATCTCCATTTTATCGATGGGGAGACTGATGTTCAGAGAGAGAAGGCATGACAGTGCTCACCCAGCCAGGGATTTGGGGCCAGAACTCTGAATATATGTGTGTTTTCTTTATGCTTCCTGTCCCCGACTATTCAAGAGACCAGAGATTCTAATACAGGTCTTGGAGGTGGTGGTGGCGGTTTTGGTTTTTTTAGGCAACTAAGTGAGCAAAAGTCTTTCGATTTTTAATTTCCTGGGTAGGGCAGGATGATCCCTCAGACTCCTTCCTGTTCTGGTTCCTTGTGATTCTCCCTAATACTTTCCAACTTTAACTCTCATAATCAAAGTGTGAGGCCACAGTGTGGATGGGGAGGGAGCTGAGTGAGGCATGTAGGTTTGCCCACTCTTTGAGGGCAAAGGACGAGTGGACCAGAAAATAGTGAATCAGGAAAACACCCACAGGAAGCAGGCTTGGGGTCCACACAGCCAGTAACCAGCATCCCTCTGGATCTGAAGAATGGCAGGTGAGTCACCAGAGGACTGGGTGCTGTCCACCAGACAGCGGAGGGCAAGGTGAGGCAAGGTGGAGAACAGCAGATGGTGGTTTGGGTTCCAGTCTCAGCCTCAAGCGCCTTCAGTCTGTCTTCAGCCAAAGGTATGTTGCAGGGAGTTTGCCTCAAGACTTGCAGGTAGCAGTGAGAGATCTTGGCAGGGTCGTGAGTTTAGGACACAGTCCCTGACATTCAGCTCATTATTGGTTTCCATCAGTTTTCTATAGACTGTGTTCCCTGACTGTCCACAGGCATGGTGGATTCGTCAATGATGCCCATCATGGGCTACCTGGTTGACCTGCGGCACGTGTCCGTCTATGGGAGCGTGTATGCCATTGCCGATGTAGCATTTTGTATGGGATATGCTATAGGTAAGGACATTGGCTTTCAAAACAACCTTTTTTCTCAGTGCATGATTGATAATGCCTACTGAAAATTATTTAAACCTTTGCATCTTTCTGCCTACAAGACATTTAGAGAGAGCTTTATCTAATTCTCTGTTTCCTGAAAGGTCCTTCCGCTGGTGGGGCTATCGCAAAGTCAATTGGATTTCCATGGCTCATGACAATTATTGGAATAATTGATATTCTTTTTGCTCCTCTCTGCTTTTTTCTCCGAAGTCCACCTGCCAAGGAAGAAAAAATGGTAAGCAAATTTTAGGATGCAATGAAGTATTTCTGGATAATTTTAGCATGGTCTCCTGGATAGTGTCTTATGGCTTAGTTCTAAAATATATTTCTGCTCCTTTTGAACAGAACTCCCCAAATGTAAATGGTAAGAGTTCCTTTTTAGTTTATACCACATAGGGCAGCTACTTGTTTTACTGTAGCAAGCATTATGTTTATATATTTTGAAGAATGAAACTATTTTTGTACATAGATTAGCAGTCAATATAGCTCTTTTCATCAACCAAATATAAACAGGGATTGTTCAATTTAATTTTCTAAGGTTCTTGAAAGTCTTGAAGATAACTTTTTTGCCTCTTGTGCTTCTGAGATCAGCCATTTTTGGTACTGTTTGCTTTTCTCCGAACCCTTACAGCTTTCAGCAATAGTGTCTTAGTCCTTACTGCGTAAGATTCAGGAGATGGTTTTCATGTAGGTAACAGACGCTTATGGAAAAATATTGTTTATGCACCTTTGGGCGCATGTTAGCACGTATGTATAACGTTTAAGTTCATAATTTCATGACCAGAATCGTAGCTATAGGCAAGATGTAGTATTGAGTGTTAAGTGTTCCTTTTCTGAATAAATTCAAACTTATTGATTCTAAATTTGAATCTTGAAATGCATGGGTCATTTGACCCTTTCTGATAAGCGTTCAGACCTGGTTTGGTGCTGCTGCTGATTTTTTTAAAACATCAAATGGTGATATACACTCGTCTAGTTGAAAGATGAGGGCCTTAGGTTAAAGGTGAGTGAGAGAAACAAGGCTGGGGGAGATGGTATTTGGCGTTTAGGAATGGGTGTGAGGTTCCCTTGCTGCTGTTCTCTAGGGAGTACGTCAGAAGTTCTCTCTGATGTTTGACCTGAAATGGGTTTTAAGGCTTTGGCATTTCTTGACTGCCCTTTTACGTGATTATCCCTAAAGAGTGGATTTAAAGAGAGACACAGACCCTGAAGTTAGGTTGTGTGCAGTCTTTGTTTTGGGCACTTTCTGTATTTATTAATATGTGCAGTATATTTAAAAAATATGTCCAGCACTGAGCACTGGTCTTGTGCCCTTTACTCGATAGAATTTAAGTAGGTGATTTTGAATTACTCTCGAGCCATTTGACTCTTCCTCTCTGCCTATGCTTGCCAGCTCCGAACAGCCACAGCCATAGCATTATGTCGTATCTCTCTCGGGGCACTTCCTGTTTTCCAGCCTGGTTGTCTAAGTATCCTGTCTACCTTTGTTTGTCCGACCCCAACTCAGTACCTTGGCCTCAATCAGGGTCAGAAAATCCTCTGTGCAACCACAGAAAACAACGCTTGTCCTGTTGCCACTGTATCAATCTGATTAAGGCCGAATGAAGATTACTCCCAACCCTATTTGACGAAAAAGAAAAAAAAAAAAATCACCTACAAATGCTCCTGTCATCCAAGAGACTGTTTAAGACTCGGGAGACAGTGCAGGGCCAGCACGGGCAGCCCTGGAGCCGAGCTGTCTGTCCCATGGGAAGACATAGCCTCAACCTCAGAGTGGTTGTGAGGATTAAATGAAAGAATACCAGTGGAGTGCGACCCCAGAGTCTGCACACAGTAAATGCTCAATAAATTGTCACGCGTTCCCATCTCACTCCACTCTCCTTTCTTGCTCTCACCTAACCCTGACTTACTCTGTCAGCCCAGCAGTACCCCAGTTTCCTCCCTCTCTTCCTCTCTGAGATGAGAGCCTCCTTTTACTGTCAGAGCCCAGGGCTGCCCAGTGGGCTTCCCTCGCCGAGCAGCAGACGTTAGTGGCTGTTGTGTTATCTGTTCGTCGGCAGCAGTGTGAGGGCTTATCTGAGGTCTTGGAGGAAGTGGATGAGGTCAGGGGACCAGGGAGGGTGAGCTTGCCCTGCCAGCCCCCACTCTGGGGTCCCCATGTGATGGGCGGAAGTCAGGCCTCAGTGCTTCGTCCCACATTTAAACTAAGGCTTTAGTTCATTTAAAAAGAAGAGTGCTGAAGGAAGTGGAAGACACGATTCTGAAAGGCAAAGCAACAAGAATGACAGGCTTCCAGAAGCCACTTCCACTGTAAAATGTCAAAATCCTTAATAAGTGCCCGGCAAGATGAATCATTACAAACTTGAGAGAATGTGCATCTGCCTGCCCATAATTGAATGCATCGTGTCAGACGCCATTTGACTGTCATAATGGCAGCATGCGAAGGTGGCAGCTACTCACTGTGCAGGCAGAGCAGGAAAGAACCAGGTGGAAACCAATAGCGCTGGATGATGAGGGGAGTGAGGGCAGGAAGCAGTGTGTGCCGTGGTGGAAGGACGATCGATTACTGCCCACTTGAGAAAATCCAATACACACAAGTGCTGGCATTCAGGATCAGCAGTTACCAAATGCAGGGGACCTGAGAGCCAGAAGAAGGTGTACAAACCTTGGCAAATCATTCTTTCATTAGTAAGCATTCTGATTAAGTGGTGTTTGGACTTAAGCTAGAAATGGAAAATTCTAGTGCTATTTTATGGATCCTATAAGTCATCCAGTCATGAGCCAGTTTGTGAGCACTTGAGTTTTTCTTCCATTTGGTTTATTGGATTTCTGCTTTTTTTTCTTTTTTTAAATAATGAGTGTTATCAATACAGGCAGAGAAAAAAGCCTGTTACTCCAGTTCCTCTGCAAGTATAAGAAACACCAACTCTGTCATTTAGGAAACTGTGTTCCAGTTATAAGACAATTGCTTACAGCCTCTAACTGTCAGAATTCCCAGTGAGGAGGAAAGCTGTGTTCTGGAATGGAGTTTTATTTTTTCAGGTTGAATTATTTTTAAAGACAGGGCATATTTCTTAGGTCTTACTCTTGAAGTTTCTAATTGTTGCCCAGACAGGAAAGTAGGTGGTTTGAGGACTGCAGCTTTCTTTCACTGGGTGACCCTGATGCAAAACCATCACTTTTTTTTTTAAAAGATGTGGTAAATAAATCTTTTTTTTTTTTTTTCACGGTACGTGGGCCTCTCACTGCTGTGGCCTCTCCCGTTGCGGAGCACAGGCTCCGGACGCGCAGGCTTAGCGGCCATGGCTCACAGGTCCAGCCGCTTCGCGGCATGTGGGCTCTTCCCGGACCGGGGCACAAACCTGTGTCCCCTGCATTGGCAGGCGGACTCTCAACCACTGCACCACCAGGGAAGCCCTAATGCTTTTACCTTTTCACTGTCCCAGCTTTGTATTTGTGTTATTTTTACACTTCACTTGGTCCAGCATGTTTTTACCAGTTTGGAAATTCTGACTCTCCTGTGTCTGATATGAAACCAGGCATTTGGTAGGACCAGGGCTCAACTCTCAGGAACCAGGCATGGCCCTGAATTCAGATGAAAATGCCCCCCCGCCCTTTTTTTTTTTTTTTTTTTTTTTTACTTTTTCTTCAGTCCGGAGTCAAACACACCTTTTTCCACACAGCAGTGCACAGAGCACTGCTCTGATTACCAGGCTGCTCCCCAGGCCACTCTGCACGCGTCCCCCATGCACTTGACTTACCCACTTGATCTTGTTCATGCCCCTCTTTTCGTGGCACTTTTGGGCTATTAGATGCCATCTGGCTTAATCATGTACAACTTAAAAAAACAACAACTATGGCACAATAAATCTTTCAAAAGAGGTTCAGAAGCCAGTAAGCTAGGTTTTAAAAGCAACAGATGATCTTTTAAGAAAGAAAACTTCTTAACCTGATATAGGTAGTATCAACAAATGCAGTTTGGTTAATTGATAAATTCTATTTAAGTCTATATGATGCCAGATAACTGGTCTGACTGAACTTCCCTTGCAATGCTGTTTTTTAATTGAGTTCGTATTACATACCCAGTGCTAGGTTCCAGGGGTCCTTACGTCTACATGTACATACCGTTAGGTATAACGGTGGACAACCAAGGGACAGAAGGCAGTTGTGATAAGGTAGAATGATGGCTGTCCTTCCCAAGCCTGCTTCGCCGCCTGTGGGCCTGGGGTCAAGGCCCCTGCCTGGCATCCGGGGCCCTGCAGTCTGGCCCCAGTTGGGCTTTCCCGTGAACGTCTCCCTGTGCGTCATCATCGGATAGGGGGTGGGGCTTGGTGAGGAGGCAGGCTGTTTTACTTAATGTCTCGTTTGGTAAGTAGCCTCTGCCACGCTCATTCCCAGCTCCCTCGCTGTGAAAATCCTTTCCATCATTCAAGCTTCAAGTCCACCCCCATCGCTTCCACATTTCTTTCCCTGAGCACTTAACGCACAGTGAGCACTCCGCCTGCAAACCCTATGGAACCTGTCACTGGTGTGCAGTGAGGTACCTAAGTTGCTGGTAGAGGACCTTAAGGGCACTGACACACACACCTGGTAGGTGCCCAGTAAGCTGCTGTCAGCCATGTGGCCCTACTGTGCCCTAGAAAATGCCACGTAAGTCGGGCGGTGTTTCTCGCAGCGCGTTTTCTCACCCTCATGTGTGGGTAGGGATGGGGGATTTCATTTTTAACCTGCCCCCTCAAGTGATTCTTGGGCACATTTCTTTGAGGATCACTAATCCAGAGAGGCAAGACATCGAGCTCTTTGGTGGCTAGACCTTTTGTGTTACAAGCACACACCCACGTGGGGAGAATGGCCCTGGTATACAGTGTCTGTTGCCTCAATTACTTATTTTTAGAAATTGAGCTCTTTATGAAGTCCATGTATCAATTCACTTGGCAAGAAGCACAATCAAAAAAATAGAGTTAAATTTGCAGCTGACAATTTGAGCTGGCAGCCTAACTCAGAGGGTCCTGGAAGGCCTTATTTATTTATTTATTTATTTATTGCGGTACGCGGGCCTCTCACCGTTGCGGCCTCTCCCGTTGCGGAGCACAGGCTCCGGACGCACAGGCACAGCGGCCATGGCTCACGGGCCCAGCCGCTCCGCGGCATGTGGGATCCTCTCGGACTGGGGCACGAACCCGCGTCCCCTGCACCGGCAGGGGGACTCCCAACCACTGGGCCACCAGGGAAGCCCCGGAAGTCCTTATCTTAACATACCACACAGCAGATCATTTTAGCATTTCTTGGGAAATGATAAATGGGTTAAGCACTTGAGTGGAGACATAGCAGCTTATCAAATCTGTGGGACAAGAACTGGGTGTAGCTAACAAGCGCCAAGATAGGTTGCAATAGGCCAACAGAAGATAAATTTTAATCCAGATAAATGTTGCCATTTAGATTTTCAAACTGCACAGAAAGGCACTGGAGGGAATAGTTTACGTGGAGGAAAACTCTGAAAGACGTTCTTGATGAGAGAATTCATTTCAGTTGCCGCTGATGTTGTGCTCTACACTCCTGCTGTCCTGTGGGGCATCGCCGAGCAGACTTTGGCATAGGCTGCCTGGGCTCGTATCTGCCCCATTTAGCTGTACATCCCTTGGTCAAGTTCTTTAACCTTTGCGCCTACACGGAGGGTTATCAAGCTACCACATAGGGTTATTGTGAAGTTGAGGTATTGCATTGAAAATGCTTAGCACAGTCCTGGCATGATAAACCCCAGCTGTACACTCAGACTACGTGCTTGGTCTGTACACTTTCATGAGGAATGATGACTGCAGTGCTCATCAACTGAGGATGTTTATCAGTTGAGGATCAGTAGACCTTAAAGAAAGTTTTCAGTAACAATAAGGGAGTGCACAAGATTTTTATGTACATGAGAGGAATGTATTTTTTTTTTTTTTTTTTTTTGCGGTATGCGGGCCTCTCACTGTTGTGGCCTCTCCCGTTGCGGAGCACAGGCTCCGGACGCACAAGCTCAGCGGCCATGGCTCACGGGTCCAGCCGCTCCGCGGCATGTGGGCTCTTCCCAGACTGGGGCACGAACCCGTGTCCCCTGCATCGGCAGGCGGACTCTCAACCACTGCGCCACCAGGAAAGCCCAGGAATGTATTTTTTAAAATACACTTGAGCAAAAGGAGGCCAGCCAGGATTTGGGGAGAGGTCCTTCTGAAATGCCATTTTTAAAAAGATAAGGGCCCTGTGACGCTTAGTCTAGGGAAATCTAAGGGGGCATGGCCGTGGTCTTAAAATATTGTAAGGGCAGGCTGTGAAGATGGCTGGAATCAGAACTTGATCCACAAATAGAAACATGGAGACAGGTTTTAGTCTAGCTTCAGGGATGTTTTTAACACGGGAGCTTGCCTCATTAGGGAGGGAGGACCTCCTTATTAAGTGTTACCACTGTGAAGGTGCATTGGGTGACCTCCAGGATCCCCCCACCCTAATTCAAAGATTCTAAGTATAACCTAAACCTAACCTGCATATCTCTTTCTTCATAGCTTACAGTTTCCTCCAAATCGACTTACGGCTCCTGGCAGGTATAATGGGAATACTGCAGACTGCTGCTGCTGTTTCCTATCGCCTGGAATTTTCAGTTTAGAACGCCAGGCCTTCTAGGGAAGGCACCTGGCAGTGGCACCAAATTACTGGTTGGTTGATAGTGGGTGGTACTATATGTAGTTTTCAAACTACTAATCCTTAGAAACAGGGTAAGACTATCTTCTCTTTATGAAACAGTAAGTTAATATATCTGCACTTTGCTCTCTTTTAGGCTATCCTCATGGATCACAACTGCCCCATTAAAACAAAAATGTATACTCAGAATAATATCCAGTCTTATCCGATAGGTGAGGATGAAGAATCTGAAAGTGACTGAGACCCTCAGAAGTCATCCAAGTATCTAATTGTATAAAACAGTATTTCCAGTGAAATGACTCATCCAGAACTGTCTTAGTGATACCACTCATCCCTGGTGAAAGAGTAAAACAACCAAAGGTTTTCTTTTCCATGGTTATGATCGATTGCCAACAGCCTTATAAAGAAAAAGCAGCTTTTCTAGGGGTTTGTATAAATAGTGTTGAAAACTTTATTTTATGTATTTGATTTTATTAAATATTATACAATATATTTTGACGAAATAGTGTAAATCTATAAATATTTGAATCCAAATCCAATATAATTTTTTAACTTACATTCACGAACACCTGGGCAAAAAAGTCTTATATATTTTCTGAATATTGGTAATGAGTGTCTAAAGCACGCATTATCTCCGAGACACTTCCAATAATGAGGAACTAGAAGGAAGTCTGAAAAACAGAATCAAGTAAGACGGCATATATTATATAGTGACACTGAATGTTGAGTTACTGAACTTGTAATTACAGTTGACCTTGAACAACACAGGGTTTGGGGGTGCCGACAACCCATGCAGTCGAAAACCTGCCTACAGCTTTACAGTCAGCCCTTCGTATCCATGGTTTCACATCTCTGGATTCAATCAACCACAGACCATGTAGTACTGCAGTCTGTATTTATTGAAAAAATTCTGCATATAAGTGGACCCGTGCAGTTCAAACCGTGTTGTTCAAGGGTCAACTGTACTGTCAATATATTCATGAGTTAAAAGCTAGTTTTCTCAGATGCAGAAGACAAGAACTTGAGCCAGTCATCTTTCGGATTTATCCATGAATCTCAGCAGGCATTAGTTTTCTATGTAATCACCTACCTGGAAACAGATGGTTGTAAATTATATGTTTACATGTCATGTGGTTGGCAACAAACATAAAAGCCAATAAGGGTAAAATAGTAAATGTTCTGAAAGCAGAGAAAAGCACCCAAAAGTATAGTTATAAACAACTAGAAGCTTTCCCTTTCAGATATATACTTGTCTTACCAGATGACAGAAAATTGAGGATAGATACACCTTATACTGTCAGGGTTGTTTAAGCATGATGAGATATATCAACACCTAGCTCAGGTTTTAGAAAAGAAATTTAAAAGGCTAATAGCTGCTGTGATGTGAAAAAATCAGACTATAATTATCTTTGAGCTGGAAGTCATCCAAGTGTTTTCTAGGGATCTACTAATTTTGAGTTGTTTGAAACTATTATTTTTTAGACTTCTGAACGTTGTTCACATCAATGTGAAAACAAATTTTACATGAAGATGAAGAAGGAATGAAATTGTCTTGAATCGTGTTAGGAAAACAGGTAAAAATAACAGGGTGGTCAGGGCACACCCCCTTTCACAGGCAGGAAAAAAACCCAAACATCTAAGAATGTCTGTAATACTGTATCACCTAGTGCTGTGTGTGATGTAGTTTTTCTAAGCATGACATTGATGTGCCTTTTCGATGTGACAGCAAGTACTGTGTTAGTGAACATTGTTAGTTTACATCGAGTTTTGTATGAGATATGAAGATAGTGTGGAATGTCTCAAATAACACTTGTTCATTCTGTAGTTCTGTAATCGTAAACAAAAACTACTTAATGTCAGCTCTTTGTTAAGCTAAAATTGTGCTCCTGTTAACTTGGAAGGACCCCTCAACCTTATAATTCTCTAAGAAAGTAGCTAATAACTTCCCATTTTCTTTATGAAGCTTTTCTTGTGGGGCTTTGAGCTGAAGTCTGGTCTTCAAGTGCATGTGTTGGAAGCAAACAAGCGTCCTACTCGTGTATTTGCGTTGGGCGACTTACACAAGGACTCTGCTTTGCTGGAGGCACTTCTGTGGCTAAAGTAAAAAAGGCAGGACTGTTCTCTACTTCTGGAGGGGAGAGCCTTAAAAAAGAAATGTGCTGCAAATCAATTCTCTGGCGGGGTTTGTGGTTCTCCTCACTCCCAATACCATGTAACTTATCCCTCTTTTATTTTTGCCTGCAAGGTTTCAGTCTCTTCAAGAATGACTGGCAGCCATGTCTGCTGGTGATCCCTAGAGATCATATAAAAGATACATATTTTTCAGAACTGTTTTGAGAGCAAAAGGTATCAGTTGTATCTGAAGGGGAAAAAAATTGTAAGGTCTTTTATATGACCAGTATTCTGGGATTGGCAAGACTATGGAAAAAAAAGCTTTTTTTTTTTTTTTTTTTTTTTTAATGTGTGTATCAGAACAAAGAACACACAGCTCTCTGAACATTTATTTTTTGAGCAGAGGTGTTTTTTATGTTTGTACCTGGCAAAACAGATACAAAAAGCTTAATGAGGTAGTGATGAATATTCAATTCTTTTGACTGCTAACTGTATCCACGTACGTCATGTTTTAGCTAGTTTACTTAATAAATCTTCTGAACACTACCGTGCCTGTTGTATTCCTTTGTTAACCAGATATTATCATTGGAATAAAATATGTGAGAAGGTACTGTTTTAACTGTGGGTATTCAATTAAAAACTATTCTTCTTTGCTTGCAGGCATCAGGTAAAATCTACTCCAGACTAGTTTGAACCATACTTTTTGGCTTTGCAAAATTTGTTTTAATTTGAAGTATGTAACTAGCCACATGGTGTCAGTGTGGAACCAACCAGTAAGTTATCCTTGCATCTCTAAAGTTATATTGTTTTCCTGATGGCTACGAACAAATAACTATATCTGATGAAAATAACTATGATATGCAGCCACTTGACACAGTAGGTCCACGGCCCCTGGAAGTTCCATAAAACTTAGGGTGCGCACGTGTGCACCTTTCAGGGGTGAGAATCCATGGTTTTAAACAGATCTTAAAATGGATCCATGGCTTAAAAAGGCTTAAGGGAACCTCCCCCAACCCTGTTTTTAAAGGAAAGCTGTTATGTCTCAATTTAGAAATAAACTCAATACATTTTAAAATTAAAGTGATTTTAAATTTATTCACTTTTAGGGGACTTGAGATTTTATTATCTTACTATTAGTAAGAGCCAAATACCTTCAAACTGCCTTTCAAAAAATTCAGAAATACTTAAATTTAGAATTGACAGTACCTTCAAATTTTTAGCATGTGTTTTCTCCTCTTAAATTCACAAAATGGCCACATAGTATTTTAACTAGTTCTGATACTGAAGAGTGTAAGGTCTGATACTAAGAAATGTAGCATATGAATTGATTCTAAATGCTAAAATATTGCTCAGCTTGACTGTCTAACCTAATAATTCATCTAAATACCAATGTAGCAAATACACTTTAGTCCAATTACTATTAGATAGCAGAGGCAAATCCATAAATCTGATTTTCACAGCATAAAAAAATAGTAAAACCAAAATTTAATGCTTTCAGACAATTTTCAGAATACCAATTTTGTTTAGCAAAAGCGGACTTTGTTATTAAACTTATCTTCATGGCCCAATTATACCAGGCAATAATTCCATAGAGATGCAGCAGTCACCTTTTTTAGATGACATCAAATGAAGATATTCTTGTTTTCTGTGGTAGTTTTTATTTAATATTATTTTTTAGCTATTGATAACATAGCATGGCAGAAAGATTACATCAGGAATGTGATATAATACAACTGTTTTCACTGAAGCCTTATACCTTACTATTCCTTAGGCTGTTGGCGTGTCCCACCGCCCGCCCCCCTTGCACGAAACTACAACTGTGATGCCTCTACTGCCTCTCCCAGTAAATAGAAAAATATTGCACTACATTGCAGGTATATTTTACAAATATCATTAGCAGCATTACTGAGCTTTCCATAATTGTGGTTCTACAGAGTTAAATACTTTTAAAACATGAGTAGATTTTTATGAAACCAAAGTTTTGCATTATTTCTACAGCTCTTTCAAATGCATCAGTTTCAGCAGCATGCTTGGATGTCACTAAAACTTCATGGTATAATCCAAAACCACCAGCCACTTACTCTGCCTTCCAGGTTGTCAGTGGTAAGTGATTTTTTATGATAAGATGACAGTTGGTTATTACATTGGGAAGATTGTTTCAAGCTATTGTTACAGAACAACATTTTAGCTTTCAGTGAATTTGGTGTATAAAGACTTCTACAGCAGTGTTAAAATGCAAGCATGTTTAAACAAAAATGGGTATACACAGATATATTTTTGTTATAAACTTGGCCAAGAAAGGTATTTAGTTTCCTAATATTTTACTTAATAATAAAATAGCAAGAATGAGAACTGGCTATTGATTTTAAAAGTGGAATGGCTTTCCTACCCATAAAAATGTTTTTATCAATCATCCATATAACCCTTTTATTTCAATAACTTGTTACTGTTCAGAAAACTTTTGCAGTTATGCTGTTGTTTTCCTCACAACAGTCCTGTGAGGTAGAATAAATTTTGTTTATTCCTACTTTACAGCTGGGGAGCCTGCAGCCTGGAGCCGTTTCGTGGCTTGCCTATGGTTACACAGTTCACTAATGGCCAACAGAAGAGCTTGAACTTAAACTCTTGTATGGAGTCCTGGGTTATAGACCTGGGCTAGAATCCTTACTATTATACTATGCCTTTTCCTGCCAGCCATAAAAACTGCCACCATCTAGTTTTAAATTCATGTCAGTTTCACTATATAGCAATTATCATAGTAGTTACCTACAAAAGGGAAAAACATGTACATATCTATTTTATAGACATATAAAAGGCCAAAACTTTTATGGTATACCAACAGAGGTCATGCTCACATGTTTTCCCTCAGTTGTGTGTTATTGGGATCCACACGGTGGCCTGAGTATCAGACTAGACCTTCATTTTAAGAGAAATGGTTCCAATTCCTATGTATCGATGCTGTGTAATTTTTTTTTTTAATAAGACAGTCTGAACTACAGAAGCATTCAGAATGATCAGCCTGTAGGATGATACATAGGATAAGCCTGTAGGATGTCAGACAAAGCAACAAATCTATTTTGCATGATTCCTCTCCCTTACAGCATTCTCATGCATGACTATTTTTCTAAAACAAAACAGCCAAACCAGATATCAACAAGGTCATTTTAAGAACAGTCCTCTGAAACTTCAAATATCTACATGCTTTATTTCCTATGGGAGAACTGAAGATGAAACATAATCATAAATGTTTAGTGCTTCCATTTGAAAGGCAAGTGTCAACATTTTGAAAGATTATATTTCAAAATCCTGCTGGTTACTGTTTTTTGTTTGTTTTAGTAATCTGGTCATCCTCTCAAAATTCTTGACCAACTGCATTCTGTATTTATTCCCTGTTGCATTTTGTTTTTCAATGCAAGCTCTTCAAATTAATCACTATATTCTCACTATACTTAAACTGCACATAAGCTTTAGAAGAAAATTTCACAAAAGCATAAAAAACAAGCAATATATGTAAAACTTTTTTTTTTTTTACTAAATCAGCATAACTAACTAAAGCTGCGGCTTTCATGTTACATTTGGCAAAATCAAAACAAAAAGCACTCCCCCAAACGCCAAAATAACAAAAATCTCAAGCAAGTAGATATGACAAACTTCATAACACAAAGTATGATTCAAAACCTGTTCCCTCAATGATTGCTGTTGTCAATTTGGGCATGCAGCAAATCTGTTGTTATAACTGTGATGGAAATGAAAATATTTCAAGAATCTGGACAGTATCCTATTTAACACTAATTCAAAAACTAGGAAGAGGAAGGGAAAAAAACCACAATGAGACATCACACCTACATAAACACGAAAAGTCAGCTTACATAATTAGAAAAAGTTAAAAATAAATTAGTAAAAATAAATTCCCAGTATAAACCCAAAAAGCATAGCTATAAATGCAATCTGAAACAACCAATTTAGTGAGCTGATCATGTTTTTGCTGGAAAAACCACCTCTTCCACTCTAGTTCTTACACAAGCAAATAACTGTGAAGCAGGCCAAAGTGCATAATAAGAGGGTTTAAATGTGGTTGTATCTGTGGTACTTTAGATGCAACTTTTCCTCAATCACTAGAAAGTTTAAACAGACTGTTACACAGACTCAGATGGGCCAAATAAGTCATCTGATATGCTACTGAATGGCTGAGAGTCTATTAGTTGGGTTATTTCACTATCAAGGTCTTCTTCTGTATCATCTGTGTACTTGCTTATTTTTTTGGAGTGCTGGTCTAAGGACAGACTTTCTAAAGATTCAATATCTTCAATGCCTGCTCTGTAGTGGATCATAAGAAGTGTTAGAGCTTGCAGTCTTTCACCTGATTTAGCCAAAGCAGCAGAAAGAAGTGATTTTTTCCTCGTATCTGTTGTCTCTTTTTCTTCTCTAACAAGGGAATTATTATGTTCCAACTCCTGATCAATTTCATTCTGCAGTTTATCTAGCATGAACTCTAGTTTCTGGATCCTCTCCTCTGTAGGCAACCCCCTGTACAGATCACGACCAATTTCTTTAACTGCAATGAAAACGCTGTCATCCAGACCACCCTCCTTTCTCACTAATTTTATTCCTGTGTTGTTGCCCCGTTTAGAAGGGCTGTTTGGGCCACAGATCTCTGTGTCACTGCCTTCGTTGTCTGATGTGTTGGGTGTGTGTTTTGGTGAAGGTTCTACTAGATCAGTCCCTGGCTCAGAAAGGCGAGTTTTAGATACTTGACGCAGATTTAACAAACGAGAGCTCGTATTGATAATATGTCTTGTCAAACCTGTCATTCTGTTGACTGACTTCCCAGCTTCAGCATCAACACGAGGGGGCAGGCCTAAGAGGGTTTCTTGTCCTTCCAGCCTGAGATTTTTCAGGGCCCGGTCTAGCCGTTGATCAGTTGCTCCACAAAGAGGAGTCTCGGCTAGACACTTTTCCTGACATTTTTTATGGCAAACATAAGCACAGAACATACACTGGGAAGCAGCTTTAGTCCAAACTTTTTTCTTACAGTAATCACACCAAGTTGGGTTCTGGAACTGAGTATCCTGGAAACTATGTTTATTTTCTGTTAAACCCATCTGTCCAACAAAGTGCTCCTCTTTAGGAAGGGCAGAAACCTCTTCGACCAAATGGAGTTCTTTTTCTTTCTCTAAGTTAGTAACTACATGGTGGTCTGGCTCTCCTTCTTTCAGATATTTGAAGTGAACAGTAATATCACCGAAACAAAATTTGTCATTGAACCCCTTCTGCATACTCAGATTACGTAGCGCGGTTCTCGTGACCATGGCCTTAGGTGATGGGGCTTCCAGTCTGAATTTGGAAAGGTATTCCATGTTCGATGTAGCTAAGCATCCTAAAGCCACCTCTTCAAGTTTTAAGCTGACGTGCCCCAAACAGATGAGACCCCCTAATTTGAAAGGATCCCTGCACCACAGTGCGATGTTTAAGTACCTGTGGCAGGCTTCTATGTCAAAGAGACAGCTGGCTCTGGTTCTTGTCCATTTTCCGAGCTTATTACGATAAAGAATTTCTGATGACTCCCACGTTTGATGGTCATCTGAACTGTCCGTAGGAGGGCAGGAACTTTCTGAAGTCAAATCTTTTGCCACTTCTTGCTTTGCTGGAAACTGCTTAGCTGCAGCTGCTTCTTCGACGTGATCCAGGTTTTTCGCTGGCTTTTCAGCAGGTTTATCTGCAGCAGGTGGCGGCGGCAGCACCTTCTCTGGCTTTTCAACGAGAATATCTGGTTCTGCCTGATTTGGGGCATCAGCAGAAGGTAAAGGAACTTTGACTTGTGGTCGTGGTGGCACAGGTGGTTTGAAAGTGGATCCTTGGGTGGGTTTTGACACTTGTGCTGGTTCTGTTATCTCAGAAGATTTTAGGGCCAAGGGCTTATTTCCTTCTTTGGATGGAAGTTTTGGGGGTGGTGGGTAACTTCCTACAACTAATTTACGGTTTAAAACTGGTGATATAGTTCCAAGGGGTTTAACAGAAAGTGTTGTTGGAGTACGTTTGGGACTGTGACTTAATGACTGTGCCTCATCCTTGACCTCAGTTTGTGCTCTCACATCACTTGCTAAGTCTTCAAATTCAGAATCCAGGTCTCTGTTTTCAGCATCTACTGCCAACCCACTTGTTTCCTCTTCATAGTTTGGTTGGCATGGGCCTGACAGAAAGTTGTCTTCCAACTGTCCAAAGTTATCTTGCAGCACTGCACCCTGGTTACTCTGGCCAACAGGCCTTTCATAATATACCAGGACTCGGTCACCAGCCTGCTTGATAAGCTTCAACACTTGCAGTGTAGATGTGATTTTCACACCTGTTTTAAGATATTAAAAGGGAAACATGTAAATTACTGCAGTAAGAATTACCTAAATTCACTAAGTGTAATTGCCATTAATTCATGATTACTTAACTAATGGAAAAGTAACAGTGAAACCTCTAAAATATCTTACGGGTTTATGGATACATCAGTGTACTGATTCTTAAACCCTGACTGCTCTGATGTCCTGGAAATGTTTACGTTTTCAAACCAAATGATGACATGAAAATCCTGAGGAGGGTGTCAAGCTGTTAACTCCTAATTGTTTACCATTCCTTCCTAGGTTTAAAAGACATTATTCCTCAGTTTGAACTGAAGTGAGCGGAGTGAGACCTATTGAAAAGGATTTTATTAACGGTTAAATCAGGCTTAAAATGATGGGAAACTGTGATTATATTAAGGGAAATTGTAAAATGCATCAGGGATTACAAGTTGTATGGTGAATGATTCAAATTAAGAGACCAATGCTTGAAATAAACTTAGCAAAATATTGGGTTGGCCAAAAAGTTTGTTCTGTTAGTGAATACACTGTTCAATAAAAGTCTTGGTGAAAATGAAAAATGTCTTTTATTTTCACTTAAAACTGAACAAACTTTTTGGCCACCCCAATACTATTATGAATAGTGGACTCTTACAGATTCTTTTCATTAGCCCTACCCATCAAACTAGTCTTTTTCAGGACCAGAAAGAATAAGGAAGGCATAATAGGAAGGCTTTAAAGTTAAACAAGTTGTTTACTATCTGTATCTATATCAACAATATCTTAAGTTTTCATTTTATTTTCTAATAGGTGCTACATCAATTAGTTCAAAATTCAAAAAGTATAGAAAGATGTACAGTGAAAAATCTCCCTTCCACCTCTATCTCCCAGACGTATTGTCCCTTTCCTGAGGCAATCAAAGCTTCTGATGTATTCTTCTAGGGATATTCTAGGTGTATCTTTTAAAGGCTCTATTTTTTCCCTACCCTCTCCAAAACAGTACTTACCTAAGCCAACCCTTTCTGTAGGCGTTACAGAAAGGTTAGAAGGGGTCTTTGCTTTCCAAAGGTCTTAAGGCCATCCTAAATAAATCAAAGTAAATCAGCCCCATCTAATAACCTGACTTCAGAGTTCCTCAACCTCTATATTCTCCTACTTTGGCTGCCCAGGCAAGACCATGCTTTAGACCTGGTCATCACTTGGAAGTTTTCCACATCAAAGATCTTTTACTTGGAAATTAACCTCTGATCACAATCTCCTATTTCCACCTCTAACAATCCTGTCTGCTAACTGAATCTGTTTTGAGGTAGTTTCCATGTCCAGTCATTCCTCCTTTGCTCTCATGGTCCAGCTGGTCTCCTGATACCACTTGCTTTTCTCCCCAACCTCAGTTCAAGACTTCAGTGGTGTTCACATCAAGCTTTTTTATTCTTTTGCCCCAGCCCTTTCCTCTTCTACCATCTACCTGTCTTTCTGATCCCCAGCTTTGCTAGCCCCTTATCTCCCTTTCCTGCTCCTGAGCTTATCACCTGGATACAACTCCCGAGTTATACCATCTGTCTGCAGCAAGGCTTTCAGTGCTGCTTTAGCATTCTTTTGATTGGTCTCTAAACAACTAAGTCTCCAAACACCAGCTTCAAACCTTTCTTATTCCCCTGAAACCCACCCTTCCTACTCTCTTTTATTCTGTAGATGACATCACCTTATATACTGAAGATCAGTAAGAAGCCACCTCTCCTCCCTGCCAGTCATTTTCAGGATTAAGCCATCTTAGAGGAGAAAGTATCCCTTGTACTTTGGATCCTACTCCCTATCCCCTTCAGGACTCTGCTCTATCAATTATCCTTGCTAAAATCTTAATTCCCTTCCTTCTTCTCCTTTAAAACCTTGTTTTCCTTGGTTTTCACAACACTGTACTAATTTGGCTCTGATCATCTCTGCTTTCTTTTTTCCCCCACCTATATCTGTCCCTTGTATGCAAATGTTCCCATGTTTTTTTCATTAGTTTCTCTGCCTTTTTGTTTTCTCCCTAGATTACACCCATTTCAGTAGTTTCAACTATCAACTTTTTCTTTGGTTGGCGTCCCCTCTTCTTCACTCTAGTCGTACATTCCCAGCTACTTCTGGATATCAGCACCTGGATGTTTCGTTGATACTACAAATTCAGTGAAGTTAAAATCTCTCTTTGACCTTCTCATCTTCCTATTCTCACTACTATGTGAATCAATTTGCCACCCTCCCAGTTAACCCGATCTGAATCATGGAGATGGCTGACTCCCTAGATAGATTCAGTCTGCTGTCAATCCTGTTAGAGTTCCAGTCCATTTTCATTCCTCCTCCTTTCAGATCCTCCTGACCACTGGCTTCCACTATAGTAATAAACAGCTTTTTACTATGATCCCTCACTTAGATCTTCCCTATTTTAATCACCAAACATATATTGCTCCCCAGTTTTCCTAAAACACTGGCTCAAAAACCTTTAGCCTACAAACTCATACTGAAATTCAGAGCTTTCTCGTATGACTTCATGATTCATCCAGCCTTAATTTCTTCTGCTTCCCTTTAACCACACTATGAACCAGCAAAACTGTAGTTTGACATAAATAAAAATTAAGTCCATCTAATGATCTGAGGTAGGCAAAAAACTTCAGCTCAATCTAAACTCATTCTTTGTGACTTAACATCTGCCTCTTGGTACTGTTCAGCCAAATATGGATTATTTTTCTTTTGGAATATTTCAAATATACTCAAAAGCAGAGGAAATAGTAAAATGAACTCCATCATTGAGCTTAAATATAACAAACATTTGCCAATCTTATTTCAATTATCACCAATCCCGTTACTAAATGTTTTTTTTTTTTTTTGTGGTACGCGGGCCTCTCACTGTTGTGGCCTCTCCCGTTGCACAACACGGGCTCCGGATGCACAGGCTCAGCGGCCATGGCTCACGGGCCCAGCCGCTCCACGGCATGTGGGATCTTCCCGGACCGGGGCACGAACCCGTGTCCCCTGCATCGGCAGGCGGACTTCTCAACCACTGCACCACCAGGGAAGCCCACTAAATGTTTTTAAAATGTTGTATACCCATACAAATAAAGTATAGCTATAAAAAAAAGAATGTGTATCATACCCTCCCCTTATCTCAATGAATATCATTATTTTTACAAATGTTAGACACAAAGAGATGACTTTTGCTTTTTCACCCTGCCTGTATTTATATTGCTTGGATTTATTTATTTATTTTTGATAACAGATATTTACTACTTGTATAATTGAAAACAAAAACCTTTCATAAAAGGACGTAAAAAAGAAAACAATTTTATGCTGTAGGTAAAACCAAACGGTATATGTATACATATAAAAAATTCATACTGAATTATGATTTTTAGCTGAGGGATAACTGTTATGTTTATGTTAAATAACTACGTAACAGATAAGGTTTATTTTATAGCCTTATTATCCTAAGTGTCTATGAACCAGTATCATCATCTGGGAGCCTGTTAGAAATACAGAACCTGGAGCTCCACCCCAGGTCTACTGAATCAGAATCCACATTTTAACACCATGCCTGGGTGATTGGAATACACAAGAGAGTTTGAAAAGCACTGTTTATGACATAATCAGAGGGATTTCCATGTGAAATATTGACTTAGTGGGGCTTCCAGGTATGCAATTAAATAATTTTCATTATTTTATTGTCATGATGGATATGAATTAAAGGTAGAGTTTCTTCAACATATAACCAAAGACAACTGCTCCTTAATTTAGGAACTAATTTACCTTGTTATTTATTGTTTTAGCTGTGATAGAATATTCCATGTTGCCTTTAAAAGCTCAATTGTAACCAACCATGGGCTCAAGAAATCTCTTGACAAGCCTAGAATGGGCGGGTCACGTACTACAAAGGTCTGAAAAGGTTTGGACTTTTCCCCCACTGATGTCCACAGTGAGTCTTTACTGCTTATTTATAAACATGCAAGCAAATAATCTGCCTAACAATAGAGAGTTTTTGTTGTTATCAATCCAACTGATAGGAAGGCATGCAGGTGACACATTTTTCTGCCAGTGACAGTGATTTGGGCTGCACTCTGAATGACAATCTATTAACAAATGGCTGCCCAGTCAGGAACAATAAGGGGCAACCAATATGGGGCCACAGGACAGTTCAGGTATGCCCTTTTAGACAAGGAATCTCTCTCCTGTTAATTATCTAGTCCTGAGTGATGGGGGCAGTAGTGCTAACATTGTCAGTTTTAGGCTCAGAGTAGTAATGGTGGTGGCCACACAGAAAGATAACTGTTGACCTGCCCTTTCTTTCACATTCAATAAAAAAAAAAATAGAAGTAGGAGGAAAATGGTCTAAAGATGAAATATTTTAAAGATTTATAATTAGAACTAAAATGATGTGTTTCAAATTTTTTAAGGCTTCCTTCACATTTTTATTTATAGTATAGTTATTACTTTCTTTCCATTGTAAAAGTAACATGCTTATAGAAATAAAGAAGGAAGAGGGACTTCCCTGGTGGCGCAGTGGTTAAGAATCCACCTGCCATTGCAGGGGACATGCCCAGGTTCGAGCCCTGGCCTGGGAAGATCTCACATGCCGTGGAGCAACTAAGCCCATGTGCCACAACTACTGAACCTGTGCTCTAGAGCCCACAAGCCACAACTACTGAGCCCGCGTGCCTAGAGCCCATGCTCTACAACAAGAGAAGCCACTGCAATGAGAAGACCACGCACCGCAATGAAGAGTAGACCCCGCTCGCTGCAACTAGAGAAAGCCTGCACGCAGCCATGGAGACCCAACACAGCCAAAAATAAAAAAAAATAAAATAAAAAAAAAAGAAATAAAGAAGAGAGGAAAAACCCCCACATCTGTTCTCTGGTTTTCTTTGTAAATGTCAGGTATACTGCACATCAGCATAATTACCTCCAATAGCAATCAGTCGATCTCCCCGCTGAAGATCAGCAATTGCAGCAGGCGAGTTTGGGGCCACGGTCTCAATTATGACGTGCCCAGCATACCCGTCAGTTGACTGGACAAGACGAAGTGTAAGTCCGACACTTTGTAAATTCCCCTTTATTAATTCAACCTTTGATAAAGATAAAAAAATGAAAACAGATTCAATGGGTTCACAGTAGTGGAGTGAGAAAACACAACACATCGAGAGCACTACAGTTGACGCTGACTTTTATACCATGGTGATGATTATTACAGACTAATAAAGGAGGGAGGAAATCTTTTATTGTGACAATATAAATTAAGATATGCTCAGACTGCACATTTGTGCCATCGAACCTTTTAAATGATAAGGTGAACATAAACAAATAGAAATCCTAAATATTTTTCCTACATCTGGTATAGCATGTGGCATGCACTCCCTAAACTCTGACATCATTACCAAAGATGATTTGGTTTTTAAGGTTTTATTACAGAAAATTTAAAAAATATACAAAAGCACAAAGAATAATTAAAATGAATCCTGTGGTAGGTTATAAAATATAGTTAACAAATTCTTCTTGACTTGAATGCATGTCCCTTTGCAATTAATACTTTACCAGACCTGCTATTAGAGGTATACCTATTTCTCCATCCTTCTCTCAGCAACCAATATAACTAGAAAAAAACAGACGAAGACATAGACGATCTGAACGTGATCAACCTTGACTTAAATGACATTTATAGAACACTATACCTAACAATGCCAGAATACACATTCTTTTCAGGTACACATGGTAAGTCCACCAGGATGTGCTATGGTCATAAAACCAGCGTTGATACATTTAAAAAGACTGAAATCCAAGATACGTTCTTTGAATGGAATTAAATTAGCAATCAATTAACAGTAAGAAAACTAGAAAAACCCCAAACATTTGAAAAGTAAAATAACACACTTTAAGAAATTCATGGTCAAAGAAGAAATCAGAAGGGAAATTAAAAAATATTCTTGGGACTTCCCTGGTGGCGTGGTGGTTGAGAATCCACCTCCCAATGCAGGGGACACAGGTTTGAGCCCTGGTCCGGGAAGATTCCACATGCTGTGGAGCAACTAAGGCCATGTGCCACAACTACTGAGCTTGCGAGCCACAACTGCTGAGCCCGTGTGCTACAACTACTGAAGCCTGTGCGCCTAGAGCCTGTGCTCTGCAACAAGAGAAGCCACCACAATGAGAAGCCCCTGCACTGCAATGAAGAGTAGCCCCTGCTCGCCACAACTAGAGAAAGCCCGCGTGCAGCAACCAAGACCCAACACAGCCATAAAACAATAAATTTATATTAAAAAAAATATTCTGAGTGGAATGATGATGAAAATACAATCTATCAAAACTTGTGGGATGCAACTAAAACAGTGTTTAGAGGAAATTTATAGCTTTAAATACTTATATCAGGAAAAAAATTCTAAAGTTAGTGATCTCAGTTCATTCCTTAAAAAACTAGAAACCCCAAAGTAGAAGGAAAGAAGAACAGAAATCAATGTAATAGAAACTAAAACAACAAATCATGAAAGCTGATTCAATGAAATAGTCAATAAAACTGATAAGCCTCTAGGATAAACTGATAAAGAAAAATGTGTACTACCAAAATCAAAATAAGAGGGGAATATCACTACAGAATCTAGAGACATTAAGAGAATAGGCAACATTATGCACAACTTTATGTCAATACATTTGACAACCCAGATGAAGTGGAAAAATTTCCTTGAAAGATAACGAATGAGAAAAACTGACTAAAAAAATAGAAAATTTGAACACCCCTATATCAATTAAAAACATCAAATTCATAAACCTTTGCACAAAAAAAATCCCTCCAGGTCTAGACTGCTTCATTATGAATTGTTGAAATAACAATCTTACTTGGAATCTTTTAGAAATAGAGAAGGAGGGTATGCTTCCTAAATCATGTGTTAAGGCCAATGTAACCCTAATTCCCAAACCCAGACAAGAAAGCAGAACTACAGACTAATCTTTCTAATGTTCAAATATGGATGCAAAATTTCTTAACAAAATTTTAGGGAATTCAACCCAATAATATATGAAAAGGATAATAATCATAACCAAGTGGAGTTTATTCCAGGAATTCAAGGTTGATTCAAGCACCTAGGAGTCAACTAGTATAAGTCACCATATTAAGAAAAGAAAGGAGAAAACCATATAAATATTTTAATAGCCGCAAAAAAAAATCAACATCCATTTATGATAAAAGCCCCCAACAAAACAGAACTACAAGGGAACATCCTAAATCTGATTATAGGCATCTACAAAAATCTATAAGTAACATAATACTCAAGGGTGAAAGACCTGTTCTCTACCCAAGATAAGGAACAAAGCAAGGATTTCTGTTCTTACCACTTCATTATTATACTGGGGGGTATAGTTAGGGTCATGATGTAAGAAAAAGGGAAGACATAAAGAATGGAAAGGGAGAAGAAAAACGGTCTTTATTTGCATATAATATGACCCTATACATGGATAATCCCAAGAAATCTACAAAACAACTTTTAGAACTAATAAGTGAAATTAGGTCACAGACTACAAGGTCAATATACAAAAGGCAAATATGTTTCTATATATTACCAACAAATAATTAGAAAATAAAGAAAGCAAATTAATTTGTAATAGCATAAAAATACTTAGGATTAAATTTTTAAAATTTATCTTTTATTGAGGTAACACTGGTTTATAACATTATATGTTTCACGTGTACACTACATTTCTGCTTCTGTATACACTACAGTGTGTACTCATCACCAAAAATTTAGTTTCCATCTATCACCACACAACTAATCCCCTTACCCATTTCACCACCACCTCTCCTCCCGGCCCCTTCCTCTCTGGCAACCACTACTTTGTTCTCTATTATCAACATGTTTGGTTTTGTTTGGTTTGTTCATTTATTTTGTTTTTATTTGTTTATATTCCACAATATGAGTAAAATCATAAGGTCTTGTCTTTCTCTGACTTACTTCATTTAGCACAATGCCCTCCATCCATGTTGTCACAAATGGCAAGATTTCATCGTTTTTCTCTTTTTATGGATAAGTAGTATTCCATTGTGTGTGTGCGTGTGTGTGTGTGTGTATATATATATATACACCACATCTTCTTTTAGGATTAAATTTAATTGAAGATGTACAAAACCTGTATGCTGAAAACTTCTGCAAAGGGAAATTAAAGAAGACCTAAATAAATGAAGAATGACACCATGTTCATGGATTGGAAAACTCATTATTGTTAAGATGCCGATTCCTCCCAAATTTATCTACAGATTCAAAGTAATCCCAGTAAAAATCTTTGCAGGACTTTGGAAAGGTAAAAGACCTAGAACAATCAAAGCCATCCTTAAATAGAACAAGGCTGAAGGACTTATACTACCTAATTTCAAGGCTTACTATATAATGTTAGCGTAATTAAGACAGTGTGGTATTAGCCTAAGGACAGATATTAGTTGTAGAAATTAACATCATCATTTCTTAAGATATCAAATTTTGGACAACGTGTTGACTTCCTATTATAATAGATAAGGATGATAGTCCATTCTCCTGCCCCCAAATTACAGTAGAGTTACATCATTATTTTTAGTTCCTCTGCATAACCTCTTTATAACTTTAATTAATATACTTATACCCCTATAGTTCTTATTTCATCAACTACAGACAATATCTCTCTTGATACTAGGACTTCTATCTTTCCCTTCACTTCTCCCCTTTATACCTTCTACCTTCTAAACTCTACCATGAAAGTTGATAACTATTATATTAATTTTTAAACTATTTTTAAGCTATCAAGGTTGACTGAAAGTCAGTCATGTTTATAATATTGTGACTATATAAATATGATTTATTGAGAACCTGGACATCTTTACATTTTCTGTCTTGTATAGCCTTTTGCTTTTCTTGGAGGTTTTTCTTTCAATAACATAGCTTTCACTTTAAATGTAGGATTTATGTAAGTACTGCTTCTGCAATTAGCTCTTAAATTCACCTATCCATTTGTTTACATATTAAATTATTTAGCACTCAGTCAAAGCGAAGTTTTTCTTTACCCCTCCACACTACTCCTGCCTAAAAAGAAGCCAGTTAAAATGTAGAAGGAATGAGCAGATTTGAAAAATCACCCAAAAGGAGAGAGAAACATTTAGATTAAAAAAAAACAGAGAGAGAGAGAGACAAAGAAAGACTAAAGAGCTGGAACAAGCGAATGTAATGTCTGAATCTTGGTAAGATCCTAGTTCAGGGAAAAAAAATCTACAAAAACATTTATGGGACACTGGGAGCATTTTAATATAGACTGAAACTTTGGTGAAATTAAGGAATTATTAATTTTCTTATGTGTGATAATGGTTATTGTAGTTATGTAAAATGCTCTATTTTTAGAAGATTCATACTGAAATATTTAGAGGTGAAATATGACGTCTTCAACAATGTCTTTCTCAGATGCAGAGCTATGAAAAGTTTCAGCATCTATTATTATACTTATTAGTAAGACTCAGCACTACTAGTCAAAACAGGATACAAAAGGAAATTTAAAAACCAATCTGCTGTGAATGAACTCAATATACAGCTGAGGAAACAAGGCAAACATATTATGAAACAAACATCAATTCAGGGCATTAGAATATTTAAACTATCTTATATCGTTCAAACCTTAATTTACTTTTACAGGATCAAGACTGAGAAGCTAATTTTATGATCATATGACTTTAAAAACTCTCCCATTAGAAAAGACAAAGGCGGTGACTGATGTCGACATTCAGTAAGAGAACAGCAGCCAGTTCAAACCCACTGGGAGAAGAATGGGCTCAAGCATGGTCTTTACTTCCAAAGAACAGAAATCATACCAATGGTGGTAAATATCTACCTTTTCACAAAATTATGTTTTCATCCTGCTAGAAGGTTTCCTCTATGTTGTAGACTAAAGACATATCAAATGAAAGGAAAAGGAAGGGGCTGAAAAAAGGAATAGCAGAGAGAGAAAAAATTGTATTTCTTATGGACAAATAAAAGCATAGTGAAGAAAAAGTGAACATGGAACAATATTATATTTTCCTTTGGATTGCTGATCATGAAATCTTTATTAAAAAAAGAAAAGCAGG